GGTGTCCTTCGCAGACCTCATGACCCAGCCGGGAAACCACAAGGCGCACTCGTGAAGACGCGGCTGGTGGCACGACTCGTGTGGGACAACCACTCCACCTTTGTCGTGACTGTCTGTTGTGGCAGCGACACCAGCCCTGACATATTAAGCCACCGAAATCAAACGGTTACTCCAGTCAGCGCTGGACCACTGGCCCAAGGGTTTAGTTTCGGTTGCGATAAAAGTATGTCGTGGGTTCGAGTCCCAGGCTGAACACGTTCAAATTGGGCTTTTCTTCCTTCTGAGACCCTGGATGCTCTTTTGGATAGAGCACGAGTGAAGATGGGTTCACCTAAACATCGCACGTCCATTTCTTCGGAAAGAATGCACGGGCAGCGCGGCAGTTGCTTAACATCACACAGAGGTCAGTCACTATCACAGCTCCGCGTGTACGACAGCACCTCGCACCTGGTCCAACCTGAGCATGAAAATGCTGTGGCTTCTGCTGGAGACGTTGTTCATCAGCGTCGCCGCCGTCGCCCGGTGCTCGGCCCCCTTCTTAAGCACGCCCACCGCCTCTTCCAGACTCGTAACCCGCACCTCCTTAGCGCCGGCGGCTTCCACACCGCGACCGGAAGGGTGTTCTTTCACCTAGGGAGAAACAAAAAACCAAACAAATGTAGAGTCCGTCCGGTTATTTTTCACCACGCCAAGTCAGTAGGGACCAGTACTAGAAGGTGCTGAGTGGAGACCGGCACGTTTTTTTTTTTCAATGCAAGACAGCAACAACAACAACAACAACAACAACAACAACAACAAAAGCAACGGGGACCCCCACTCTTTCTCGCTCAAACACCCAACAAATGTATTGGCTCGGTCACACACGCGCGACTGCCTGAAAAAGTTGTTTGCTCATGAGGCCAACAGGAAGGGCGAATGCCCATGCGACCCGGCGTAATGAGAGGGATGGCGGCGAGGGGCGGGGGTTGGGGGGGGGGGGGGGGGGACCTACTTTTTGGCCCCGCCGGGGGTTCCTGCCCGCCCCCCACCCCCCCCCCAACGGGTGGGGTTTAAAAACCCACCCCCCCCGGAAGGCCCACCCCTACCCAACCCCCTGGGTTTTCCAAAAAAAAAAAATTCCCACCCCCCCCCCAAAAAAAACCCGCCCCCCTAAAAAACAAAACCAAACCCACCCCCAGGGAAAAAAAAAAAAAACCACAGGAAAAAAAAATGTAACCCCCCCCAAAACCCCATCCAAACCCCAAAAAAAAAAACCCCCCCCCCAAAAAAAAAAAAACCCAAAAACCCCCCAATTTTCCTTTGCCGGGGTGAAGAGGGCCCCGAACTTCCCCTTTTAAAACTCCCCAAAACGGGGCCGCAACCCGAAATCCCCCCCCTGGGCCCCCCCCGCCCCCCCAATCCCCAAAAAAATGGAAACCGCCCCCCGGAATAATCCCCCCCCCGGGCCCAA